CAGTTGGTCGAGAAATGGGAGAAGCTAACGGGGAAGGAACTGGAGAAGATCAGCATTTCTGACACAGACTTTCTGGCTTCCATGGAAGGTAATTAATTAAAATTGATATGTGTGTTAATAGGCTGCAGGTCACTAATATATATGATCCCCATCTAGTTGATTAGGAAATTCATGGGAAATTAATTAGCTGTTGTGGTCTTCTTAAGAAATCAAAACTTGGTCATCAAGTAAGCAACTAGTTTAATTATGGTATTAATGTGGATATTGTTATATGATTGATCCTTTGTGGTGTGGCCAGGTTTGGCCCTTGCAGAGCAGGTGGGGGTAGGGCATTTCTATCACTTCTTTTATGAAGGTTGCTTGACGAATTTTGAAATAGGAGAAGGAGCTGAAGAAGCGTCTAAGCTCTATCCGGAGGTGCAGTACACCCGCATGGAAGATTTCTTGAAACTTTATGCATAACCACTTGGATATAATCAAGCTTCTCCATTTCAGCTCTTGTTTGCCTTTGGTTGTATTATGCTGATTTACATGTGTTTGTGCTCTCTGGTTGAGCGCATACCACTTCAATAAATAAAATTATATATCTATTTGTATTTGTGTGTGTGTGGTAGTGGTGTAATGGTTGGGTGAAGTCAAAATCTTACATCGAAAGTAAATCAAGGAATAACCTTGCAATGGACCATTAACTAAGTCATTTGTTCAATGTTGGGTGCAACACAATGGTCAATATAGTCAAAATTCAGAACCAACCTTTTAAAGTAGGACCTTCAAAATCTCTATGAAGGAATATCTCTCATTAAAAAGATCAAGTATTAACTACATACAAACATATGATAAACAAATTCATTTGTAAACATATGTAGAACAATAAAAGGAGCATTTGTTTATGAATGTCATCTCTTATATGAAAGCAAATTTGGTTCGAGCTCGTTCGCATTTCCAGCGAGGAAGTCAAAGCTTCCTTTGGTGTTTAGGTCAAAATTTATTGAATCGGCTGTTTCAACCTTAATATTATGTTCATCTTTGTTTCCTGCTCCTTCTCCCATTCTATAATTTTGGAACTCTGACCCAATATTGACCTTCTTGAAAACGTCATTCATCTGTACTACGTTCGATTTGATAGCTTTATTCATCTTATCCAAGAAATTGGACAAAGTACCATTGCAGTTTGTTAACTGTGCTCTAGTTTCTTCTGTATTGCCACCACAGTTTTTTTTTTGAACAGCTATTGCCACCACAGTTAACATCAACAGAGAGGCTCTTCTGGGCTATCTATAGTATTGCTTGCAAATACCTTCCTTGAGCTTCCATTCTCATCTGTAGTTTCTGTTGAACCTATTGTAAAAGAGTAATCCAACAACAATGAGTAAAGGTTTCCACCATGAGGTAGTAAGCTTTGCTTAGTACCCAAATAACAATAATCTTAAATAAGGGAGAATCAATAATCTTAAGGCCGTATACCTCAAGTTGTTCTTGCAATCTCTTTTGTGCTTCAAGCTGAGTCTGAAGTGCATCTGAAATTTGGATTTCTCTGTTTCATTGGACATTAACTTAGTAACATGATGGAACAATTTGACTAAAAACAAAGAATAGCAAGGAAAATTCAGTAAGAGATCTATACTAACCCTTGTGCATTATCACCTCTAGATAAATTGGTAACGGTCCCTGAAGAATGATTACTAAACTGTACGTACGAACTTCCTGAAATGAGGAAAGTGCAATGGATCAATGGTTGATAGACACCTAATTAATCTGCAAATAAGTAAAATGAGCAAGTTCTTCTGAAAATTTATAGGAAAAAGGAGAAAGAAAAAGAAAAATGTTAACTCATCCTTCACCCAAAATTGATCAAGTATATAGGTATAATCAGAGTCGAATTCAATTTATTCAGTACACTACTCAAAGCTCCAATCAACTTGAATTTGAACCTGAATTTACTCTCCTTTTCAAACTAAACTTGACTTTTTTGCCTTAACAAACATTACACACCTTCTTCATTGGACTTCATATATATGATTGAGAAAATAGGGTGTATTTAGATAATCCAAATGTTTAAGTAAATATATTTGGGTTCAAGAGTGTAACTGTGTAAGAAGTAAGAACTATAATATACACAAAAAGGATACAACCAGATCTTATACGATCAAGTTCCCCATTGAATACAATCAGATTCCGAGTGGTATTCACTACAGCTTCTTTGAAAAGCTCTTCCACCACAAGCAATTCTGATAACGGCATTTTATTGGAACTACAAAGAAAGAAGAAGAGGTGTGGAGAGGATTTTTTTTAAGTGAGTTAAATTTTCTTTTTTATTATTATTTTTTAAA